AACTAGCCAGGCATGGAGGTGCATGCCTGTAGTTCCAACTACCAGGAAGGCTGAGGCAGAAGGATCGCCTGAGCCCAGCAGGTGGAGGCTGCGGTGGCCGTGAGCATGCCACTGCACTCCAGTCTGGGCAACGGAGTGAGACTCCAACTCAAAAAAAAAAAAACTTATTTGAGGATGAAGTCAGAAAAGGTGAAAAGCATGAGCAAAGGAGTTGAGATGGGATGTTCGTTTTAGTGTTCCAGCAGCACAAAGGAAAGTGGACTCTCTGGAAGGAAATGTTATCTAGGCAGAGCATCCAGCCCTGCCACACTGCAGACTCTCTAGTAGCCCAGGATATTCATGTTTCTTCTGGTGATGGAAAAACTCAAAGTTCCCAAAGGTGCGGGATTACAGGCTGAGCCACCAAGCCCAGCTTCCAGACACCTTTTAAAACACCACCTAAGTCGGGCTCCGTGGCTCAGCCTGTAATCCCGCGCTTTGGGAGGCTGAGGTGAGTGGACTGCCTGAGCCCGCGGGTTCGAGACCCGCTTGGGCAACTTGGCAAGACCTCATCTCTACAATAAATCAAAAATTAACCGGGCGTGGTAGCACGCGCCTGTAGTTCCAGCACTTGGAAGGCTGAGGCAGAAGGATCACCGGAGCCCAGCAGGTCCGAGGCTGTGGTGGCTGGGAGCGGCCACTGCACTCCAGTCTGGGCGACAGAGTGAGACTCCAACTCAAAAAAAAAAAGGTGTCTGGAGTCCGGGACTCCTCAAGGGTTGATGCCTTTGCAGGGTCATACAATATTTTTATGTCCTTCTTTTCTGTTGTGTGATGTTATGCCAGAGTCAGGTTGAAAAACAAGCCTTATTGCACAGGGTTTTAACTTTAAAAACCCATCTGATGGGTCCTTATTGGGTGTGACTCTTCAAACCTCTTAGTTAGGAATTTGGACAAGAGAAAAAAAGGTCAGAGTTTAAACCTCATTTCTTGGACAACATTGAATAAATATTGTTCAATTTTCATCATCCAATGCTTGTTTTAAAATCGAATATCGAGGCCATTGCCTTGCTAGAGTCTGGTGTGGCCATGTGCTCTTGGCCCCCTCCCCTACCTTGGAGAGGTGAATCTTCTCTCTCTCACTCTCTCTAACCTACTTTCTAAATAAACTATATTTTCCAATCAAATTTCTGTGCAGTTCTTTGCAACATTCTCAGGACACCAGCTCACTAACAAACACATAAAGAATTTTTAAAAGGCAGAGTGGTATTTAATTTGGGTGAGTCACCCTCTACCAAAAAAGGAAAAACATCCATAAGCCTTCATGTATATATCATTGCCAATGGCAATTTTACATGGTTTACTTGTAACGTCTAATCACACAGCTTCAAAATGTATAACACAAAGATTCAAATACCAGAAGAAATTCCTAAACCTGTTCTTATAGAAATCTCGAAAACACTTCTTTCAAAGATAGGCAGATCAGAGAGAATAAATACGGATAAAGAAGATTTGAATGACGTAAATAACAAGCTCAATCTGCTAGCATATACATCAACACAGTATAAATTTCTTTGCAAATCCCCACTGTGTATTTAGTACCTTCCAGCACAGGTATAGACAGATTAGCTGAAAAGGTAAATTGGGAATAGCAATTCAAACAGTTCAGGTTCTATCTTAAGGGAAGTGTCCATAGAAAGGGCAGGATATTTCAATCCGGTTCAGCAGAGAAAAGCCAGCCACAGTGAAGAATGCGTGGGCCTCCTGCGTGGCATCTGACGTGAACCCCTCATACTCAAGCCCTCGGACACCCGTGTCTCGTCAGCACTCTTCTGTTTCTGGGTTAAGGAGCTCAGGCTTCTCAGACAGGACTGGGGAGACACTGCCTCCTAATCCTGGAAAGTAAGAAGACTTAGAACCCGCGTGGGCAGGGTCAGAGAAACCATCTTCAGGATTTGGACCTGGGTGTGTGGGAGGCACCCTGACTACCCACTCTCCCCTTCCAAATCCTCTTTGGGGGCCTATCTGACTCAGACCGGGGGTGCCCAAGACTGTGAGGCTAGGAGCCCTGAACTCTTCTCCCTGTCACTGCAAATGCTCAGACAGGATTGTGATGTCATGCCAGACTAGGGCTGCACATTTTTAATTGGCTCTGTAGTTCTGGAAGAAATCAGATCAGCTCAGACTCCCTCCACAAACTCTGAAGACAGGATGGGGATTATGCCTGTGCATTAAAGAGGGTTCTACCTTGTGTCTCCTATTAAAAAACATCAAAGAAGGTAAGAACTTTTCTAGCCTAAAGTAGAAATGGGTGAGACTATGAGGGCAACACACGTCTTTACACAAGAAACAAATATAGACTTGATTTGATGACAGAGGTCAGAAAAAGCCCCTCTGTAATCTCATCACTTCACAAAAGGTAGAGTCTTTGATGTCTGTATTATGGGGTCTTCAAGTCCTGGGTGATCAATCTTCCCTCCATTGCTTGGGCTCACTTACTGGACAGAAAAGCACTTATCTACATGTTTTCCTTCTTTCTTCCTTCCTTTTTTTTCTTTCTCTCTCTCCCTTTCTCCCTTCCTTCCTTTTTTCCTTTCTTATTTTTTAAGAAGGGGTCTTGCTATGTTGCCCAGGTTGAATTATAGTGGTTATTCACAGACACAGTCATAGCTCACTGCAGCCTTGAACTTCTGGACTCAAGTTATCCTCCTGAGTAGCTAGGACTACAGTGCATACCACCATGTCCAGCTATGTCTTCACTGTTGTTGTTGTTTAGTGGTAATGTTGGGCATGGGTGATGGGAAATCAAATCCTAAGAAGTCGTTTCACCCATGTGGCATAGATGCCACCTGAAAAGATGGATCAGCTGGGGAAGTTACCAACAAGAGAAGCAGTTGGTCACTACCAAAAGGTGCTGATCCAACAATCTGAGGCTACCTCAAGCTCATTTTCTATATCTGAGCTTATGAAGTTTTTGAGTGTTTAACTTTTCCTTGGATAATTATTTTACTTTCTATGTCTTTTTCTCAGTGATTTCTAGAATATTCTCTGCTTGTCTGCAAATGACTTCACCTTCGTCTCTTAAGCAGTCATATATAGTACCTATGTAGTCAGTCACTTTTTTTTTTTAAGTTGAAGTTTCAGTCACTCAGGCTGGACTGCAGTGGTGTATGATCATAGCTCACTGCAGCCTCAAACTTCTGGGTTCAAGGCAATCCTCCCCGTGTCAGCCTCCCAAGTAGCTGGGAGTCTAATTTCCCTTTATTTTTTTGTGGAGACTAGGTCTTGCTATGTTGCCCAGGCTGGTCTTGTACCCCTGAGTTCAAGCAATCCACCCACCTTGGCCTCTCTCAAAATGCTGGGATTACGGGTGTGAGCCATTATTCCTGGCTCACTTTTTTTTTTTTTTTTTGAGTTGGAGTCTCACTCTGTCACCCAGACTGGAGTGCAGTGGCCACTTCCGGCCACCGCAGCCTCGACCTGCTGTGCTCCGGCGATCCTTCTGCCTAAGCTTTCCAAGTAGCTGGAACTACAGGCGTGCACTACCACGTCCGGCTGATTTTTGATTTATTGTAGGGATGAGGTCTCACCAAGTTGCCCATGCGGGTCTCGAACTCGCGGGCTCAGGTAATCCACTCACCTCAACCTCCCAAAGGCACAGGATTACAGGCTGAGCCACCGAGCCCGGCTGCCTGGCTCACTTTCTAATTTTTACTTACATGTAAACATTTTAGGAAAATATGATTTATTAACTTTTAACCATAAAATAGAAGTTAAAAATAAAAATCTGTCTCTCAATTCCATTCTCCGGAGGCAATCGTTGTTAATAGTCTGGTATTTAGTCTTGGATTTTTTACACACTTATTGATGTTTTTATACAGATGTGATCACCAAGCATATTGTTCTGCAATTTGCTTTTCTTCAGGTAACAATATGTCTTGGGGATGTTTTCATATGATACATACAGACTTGCCTGTTTTTGACATGGTGGAATATTGTTCCATTGTTTTTAATGCACCATGATATATTTTGTCAATTCTGTACTGATAATTACTTAAGGAGTTTTTGTTTTGGGAGAAGAGAGATTTTTAAGAGATTTTTGAGAGCGACATTTAAGACAGCTCCTTATCTATGCTTTATTTGGCGATGACAAACATCTACAGAGTATTTCTCTTCATAACCTTATTTCACCCTCATAATGACCCTGTAACAAAGTTATCCTCAGATATGCTGCCTGGTGGGAGACTTCATTTCTTGCACCCCTCATGGTTGTTCCAAATAGTTTATTTGCCCATAATAGTTATCACTTCCTTACTCTAGAGTAGTGTTTTATTTTTATCGCCAGTGACTTTTTTACAGGGTAGATGATTTGACAAGGTCATTTTCTTCTGCCATTATTTTTGGATTTATACATTCACGAGAAACAAGGTGACTAAAGACAAAAGAGAATTTGTTCAATAGCAGTCCTTAACCTAGCAGTAAGTAGTCTCCATCCAGTCGATGAATTGAAATTGTATCTCTTTTACTGCCTCCTGAATGTGAACCTGTAACATGTTTTTGATTGTTGATATTTTAAATAAATATGGTATCAGATTCAGTCCATTCACATAAATGGAGGTTTTGCTGTGTACTAAGCTCCTTAACTATATCATTTACTATATTATCCATCTTATTTAAATATATTATCCTTGAAGATATATATAGATGAGAAAACCGAGTCTCTGAGAATTTAAGTACCCAAGATCTCATGAGAAGGTGAGCTGGAATTCTCACCCACATCTGTGCACCTCCAAAAATTCAAAACTTTTCAATATATAACTCAGCTATGCAGGCAAGCTGCCAGTGCATCAAATCCAGTTGTAAGTCATTGATGGGTCCAGTCATTGCTGAAGTTGCTTCTAAAACTTCAGGTATCCACGGGGGGGGGGGGTTGGTTGGATTGGTGTGATGGCCTCTCACTTTACCCATACTCAGATTCAGCTTTCAAGGCATCTCACAGAACTGACATCATACAAAAAAAGAGATCATAGTCTTTGTCTTCCTTTGATTATTTATTCAAAATAAATTAACCAACATAAGCAAGGTGAGTAATTTCAATTTCCAAAGAAAAAGATAACAACTCTTTGACAATCCCCAATACCACAACCTTCAAAAACAGAGAAAGGTGAGTGATGCAGAAGTGAGGTAGGGGAAAAATAAGGAAGTGGAATCCACTCTTGATGTTAAACCAGTACATCTCATGTTGCTTCCTAAAGAAGAGATAGAGAAAGTTGTTTTGTTGTATAAAAAGAAATCTGTTGTGTAAAAAGAAAGAGAATGAAATCAGGATGTTGAAGAAACATCTGCACACTCATGTTCATTTTTAACATTAGTCACAACGGTCAAGATATGGAATCAACTTATATGCCCACCAATGGATGAACGGATAAAAATAATGTGGTATGCACATACAACGGAATACTATGCAGCCATAAAAAGAATGAAATCCTATCCTTTGCAACAACATGGTTGAGCCTGGAGGACATTATGTTAAGTGAAATAAGCAAGGCACAGACAGAAAATATCACATGGTCTCTCATATGTGGAATCTAAAAATATTGATGTCATGGAAGTTGAGAGTCAAATGGGGTTACTAGAGACTGGGCAAAATAGAGAGAAGTAGAAATGGGTGATGGGTACAATGTTACAGTTGGATTGAAGGAATAAGGTCCAGTATTTGCACAGTAGGGTGACCATAGTTAACAATAATGCACTGTATTTCTAATAGCCAGGAAAGAGGATTTCTAATGTTCTCACAACAAAGAAACAGTTTAAGTGTTTGATATGATGACTATGCTAATTACCATTATTTGATCACACAGTGTATATATGTATCAAAATATCACATTGTTCCCCATAAATATATACAGTTATTATGTGTCAATCAAAATAAATAAACCAGACATAAATCTTTATGGAATCCCTACTTTGTGTCAGGCACTGTGCTAAATCCTGGGGATAAAATGATGAATTTGCTTAGCCTTTCCTGTGAAGGAACTCACAGTCTAGCAGTAGAGAGATTCGAGGGGGAAGACTGTAATGTGGTATCGAGTGGTGATGGGAATGGGAGAGTAGGAAGCACAGAGGATGGGGTGTGTCAGGCAGGTTCGCTGAGGGGAGTAACGCCTAAATGAGCCTTAAAGAATGAGTGGACTGGGCGCAATGGCTCAAGTCTGTAATCCCAGTACTTTGGAAGGTCGAGGTGAGTGGATTGCCTGAGCCCGCGCGGGTTCGAGACCCGCTTGGGCAACTTGACGAGACCTCATCTCTACAATAAATCAAAAATTAGCCGGGCGTGGTAGCGCGTGCCTGTAGTTCCAGCTACTTGGAAGGCTGAGGCGGAAGGATCACTCGAGCCCAGCAGGTCGAGGCTGCAGTGGCCGGGAGCAGCCACTGCACCCCAGTCTGAGTAACAGAGTGAGACTCCAACTCAAAAAAAAAGAATGAGTGGGCTGGGCGCAGTGGTTCAAGTCTGTAATCCCAGCACTTTTGGAGGCCAAGGCGAGAGGATTGTCTGAGCCGGCGGGTTCCAGACCAACCTGGACAACATGGTGAGACCTAGTCTCTACAATAAATCAAAAAATTAGCCAGGCATGTTAGCGCGCACCTATAGTTCAGGCTACTTGGAAGGCTGAGGCAGAAGGATCGCCTGAGCCCAGCAGGTCAAACTGGGGTGGCCATGAGCGTGCCACTGACTCAGGCCTGGGCAATGGAGTGAGACTCCAACTCAAAAAAAAGAAAAGAATAAGACTGCTATAAAGAATGAGTGGAAACCAGGCAACATGGGGACCAAAGGGAGGCCCAAACTTTATGCAATGTCCACTTGTTTACCTAATCCTGAATTGTACCCCACATCTCGTTTTTTCTTGAGTTGGAGTCTCACTCTGTCACCCAGGCTGGAGAGCAGAGGCATGCTCACAGCCACTGCAACCTCAACCTACTGGGCTCAGACGATCCTTCTACCTCAGTCTTCCAAGTAGCTGGAACTACAGGTGCACACCACCACACCTGTCTAATGTTTTGATTGATTGTAGAGACAGATGAGGTCTTGCCATGTTGTGCTGACTGGGTCTCCCACCCATGGACTCTGCACTCCAGCCTGGGTGACAGAGTGAGACTCCAACTCACAAAAAACAAGAAAAGTTGAAAACAGGAGAGATAGGGAGTTACAAATGCGGGGAACTCTCAGAGAGGACTGAGACTGGACAAGGGGAGCAGACGCTCTGACATGACTCAGACGTCTAACTTGGTCCACCCCAACTAATGCTCTCTCTGAATTTCCGACCCCAGAGCCCTCTACCTTCTGTCGGCAAGCGGCCCACGGTCCCCTGGACTGCGCTCAAGCCATGGGAAGCAGCTCCTCCACCCAGCATCATTTTGCTTTTCAGAATGCAGAGAAAGGTACGTGTTTCCCACCTTCCAAACCAGCGGTGGGTACCCAAGTCCCACGTGGCCTGGGGGAGGGCTTCTCAGGGCAGAAACCATTACATTTCTCCTCAAGCCCACGCTTGGAGGTCAGCCTCTCCTCCCCGTGACGCGGCCACCAGGATGCTCTGCCGGACGACACTGGCAGGATTAAAACTCGCTCAGGAAGTCAGTGTTGCCCACCGGGGTTCATCCCAAACCACTCCAGTGCAAGCCAATGAAATAGGCAGCGCGCTCGGCCCCCGGATCTGTCTCCTGCTTCAACAGTGTTGGGACGGGACAGACCCGGGACTCCTCTCTTCCAGCCTCCTACCGGCCTCCGATCTCTCCCCTTGCCACCTCGGAGGCCACCTTCCCGGCCACCTCCCGCTCCTGGGACCCGCCGACACCGTCTTTGCGGTTCGCGCCCTCTGGCCCGCCCACCCCGAGCTCCCAGGTTCGCCAGAATTATTCCGCCGAGGTGGAGGCGGCTGTCAACCGCCTGGTCAACCGGCACCTGCGGGTCTCTTACGCTTACCTGTCGCTGGGCTTCTATTTCGACCGCGACGATGTGGCGCTGGAAGGCGTGAGCCGCTTCTTCCGCGACCTGGCCAAGGAGAAGCGCGCGGGCGCCGAGCATCTCTTGACCATGCAGAACCTGCGCGGCGGCCGCGCCCTCTTCCAGGACGTCCAGAGGCCGGCGCCGGAGGATCGGGGCACCGCCCTGGACGCCATGGAGGCCGCCATAGCCCTGGAGAGGAGCCTGAACCAGGCGCTCTTGGAGCTCCACGCCCTGGGATCTGCCCGCACAGACCCCCATCTCTGTGACTTCCTGGAGAGCCACTTCCTGGACGAGGAGGTGAAACTCATCAAGAAGATGGGCGACCACCTGGCCGAGCTCCGCAGGCTGGCGGGGCCTGAGGCCGGACGGGGGGAGCGCCTCTCCGAAAGGCTCAGCCTCCAGGGCGACTAGGGGCCCGGGACCTCGGGGCCCCTCTCCAAGCGTCAGGGCTTCCTCCCGAGCCTCCCCTCCAGCCGAGAGGCAGCTTTGAGCCACCCTGGAGCCCTCTCCCCAGCCCTGGAGCAAATGGCAATAAAGCATTCTGCAGCCAAGAGAGCAAGAAAGGTTGGGGGAAGAGGGGAAGACACACGTTCCAGGCAGAGGGCGCCGCGCGTGCAAAGGTCGTGAGGGAGGAGGAGGGAGGCTTATTGAAGAAGGAACTGCACGGCTTGAAAGGAGTGAGATGGAGCCGGGCTCGGTGGCTCAGCCGGTAATCCCGCGCTTTGGGAGGCTGAGGTGCGTGGATTGCCTGAG